AGGGAATCCCACCCTAGTAAATACCTGAACCAGTGCTTCCGCTACCGTCTCTGCATGTATATTTGACAGAGCTATAGCTTCGGGGTAGCGGGTAGCGTAGTCCACCACAGTAAGAATGTATTTCTTACTGGATGGACTGGGTTTGCTGAGTGGCCCGACTAAATCAACTGCCACTCTGAAAAATGGTTCCTCAATGATGGGGAGGGGACGTAGTTTTGCCCTGGGGTGATCCAGATAGCGACAATATATCCACAGGAGGTGATCTGTCTCTGGCTTCTCGGGCTTCCCTCGGGCTTCCCTGGCGCAGCAATTCTTCTTTTTTATATCCTATTACCTATGACCGCCGGATCCTTTCACCGGAACAGTCTGCCACAATGTATGTGGTATCACTGATCCGCTCTATTACAGTAAAGGGGCCCTGCCAGGATGCTTGTAACTTATCCGTTTTGATGGGTTTAAGCACTTTGATGGTCCTACTTCTAATATACGGTCTCTAGCTCCCTTGTCGTACCAGTACTTCTGCCGTTGTTGGGCGGCCCGCAGGTTCTCCCGAACTGTTTCGGTCAGAGCCTGCAGCCGGTCCCTCAACTCTTGTACAAATGAGACTTAGGTTGTGCCAAGATCTGTACCACGATCTCTGGTGCAGGGTTAGGTCCTACCAGGCTGAGTCTCCATCTCACATCCCTCTGGAACTCTGTTTCCTCTGCATTCGCCATTTGTTGTTCGCCGGTTTGATCACTCTCCAGTAGTTCGGCTATTAACATGGCTTTCGGTTTGTTGCTTGCCACTATGCCTCGAGCTTCCAGCAGTTCCTTCAATGTAGTTCATTTCAAGCGTTCGTATCTATGCGCCATTCACCACTTGTTTCGATTCGGTACGTCCGTTCGGGAGGAAATCCCGCTGCTTGCCACCAGTGTAAAGGATCCTTCTATTCGTGCAGCCATGATCCTTGCAGCTTCTCCCGAAATCCAGCTGAAACAAAGTGATTATAACTCCCAGAGAGTTATAATCACTTTGAGAGTCGAGACTTCATGAAGGGGTAAAACGATCTGATTTACTGTGGGCTACCCGCCCGGTATTTATGCAGGTCTCCCACCTGGTGGACACTCCCCTAGGGGACCAGATGGAAGACTGGGACAAAATTATCACAGTAGCCAATCACAGTGGCTATAGCATAAGCACTCCCTTTTTACATAAATCACTCCCTCTTTTCCATCCTGGAGATAATTAACTTAAGGTAGCAAAGAGAGCCTTAATTATCTCCAGGTAGAAAGAAACATGGCTTTTCTTATTTTAGCAAAACAGCATAAAAATCTATAACTTTCCTTTTACATAACATAAACTTTAAGTCCCACATATCCCCAGATAGCTTGGATCTGAATGCATATTCTAGGCGAATAGCGCTCAGATCCCACGAACACAGTTCTCAGAAACGTCGACTGAAGTTTGACTTTCGCCGGCCGTTCGTGTGTTTGTAGCCGACTACAAGTTCCATACTGTAGCTATCTGGGGTCGGTCACTTTCGCATACTTCCAGCGCACGAATGAAGTAGTATCTCCTTCATTCGTGTGTTTTTCCACCGTACGAACGAGGATTTGAAGAGGTAGCAGCGGTGTTCGACAAAATAAGTAGCCAAAATTAGTTCCAGGGAATCCTCGCCATTTACCGCTGAGCGTTCGACAATACAAAATGGCGATTGCCACGTGGTCGGTAAACGAACGCGGACCACCAGCTATTCCCCAATTAGTCTGTGGTTAACCGCAACAGGTTGGGTGGTTAATAGGCGCCACACGACCTCAGTGGGAGGTCGGTGGTTCGGTAGTTCCTTCGCTTTTCTCGCTATTTTCATGAAATCCCGCTGTAATCATCCAAAGAACCGAACAGGCTGGTTCGCATGGTCTGTTTAATAAGGGATTTCATTACACAGTTCATGTCTGAGAGTCAAATAGAACCGTCAAATACTGCTGTGACATAGCAGTTTTAAAAATTCTAAAAAATTTTATGCTAAATAGTACATTTGCGGCCTGCGATGTACTTCATATGTGAGAGTCAAACAGAACTGTCAAATACTGTGGTTACAGCGCAGTTTTAAAAATTCACATTTTTTTGTGTGCAAAATAGTACATTTGGGGTGTGCACTTCATATCTGAGAGTCAAATAAAACCGTCAAATACTGTGGTTACAGCGCAGTTTTAAAAATTAAAACATTTTAGGTGCTAAATAGTAAATTTGGAGCCTGCACTTCATACCTGAGAGTCAAATATAACCGTCAAATACTGCTCTTATATTGCAGTTTTAAACATACAAAATTTTTAGGTGCTAAATAGTACATTTGGGGTGTGCACTTCATATCTGAGAGTCAAATAGAACCGTCAAATACTGTGCTTACATTGCAGTTTTAAACATTCAAATTTTTTAGATGCAAAATAGTACATTTGGGGTGTGCACTTCATATCTGAGAGTCAAATAAAACCGTCAAATACTGTGGTTACAGCACAGTTTTAAAAATTAAAACATTTTAGGTGCTAAATAGTACATTTGGAGCCTGCACTTTATATCTGAGAGTCAAATATAACCGTCAAATACTGCTCTTACATTGCAGTTTTAAACATACAAAATTTTTAGGTGCTAAATAGTACTTTGGGGTGTGCACTTCATATCTGAGAGTCAAATAGAACCGTCAAATACTGTGCTTACATTGCAGTTTTAAACATTCTAATTTTTTAGATGCTAAATAGTACATTTGGGGTGTGCACTTCATATCTGAGAGTCAAACAGCACCGTCAAATACTGTACTTACATTGCAGTTTTAAACATTCAAATTTTTTAGGTGCTAAATAGTACATTTGGGGTGTGCACTTTGTAGCGGAGCAGTAGTATTATCCACGGTATCTCCGCTGGTAGACAGAATCAAGCAGGCACAAAGCAGGTAATATCCAGGTAGCGTAGTTACAATCGCTTATTCCCAAGAACTTTTCAGGTCACGGTATTTATGGGATTCCCCATGCAAGGGGTTTCCCTACTGACATTTCAGGGGTTGTACAGTAGGGGACTACATGGGGAACTGACCAACCCACACATTTTTCCCATCATGCACTGCTGGACAAGAGCGATACTCCCACTGGAATATACTGTTAATGGGATTATCCCTCCGTGCAGCAGAACTCACATTTTACATTAAAATACATAACTTTAACAATATTCACTAGTTTTACACGAATGGACGTTCGGTAGATAGCTAGAGGCTGAGCGCATCGTTTGTGAGAATAGCGCTCAGCTCCCAGTCTAACTAACCGAACGCCGTACGAAATACATATAATTTCTAACATAGGTTTTAAACTACCGATTATCGTAAGGGGAATAAACTACCGAACGGCCGAGGTTCCCGAACGGCCTGGAAGTCCAGCGGTGTTCGCGCCATCGAGTAGCCGTTTTTAGTTCCAGGCGATCGATGACAAAACACCGCTGGGCTAACAAAAAAACAAGATGGCCGACCGCCGCGTGGTCAGTATTCGAACGACGGCCACCTAGAAACACCCATTGTTGCAATCGGTTAATGGGTGCCACACGACCCCCTGTGTGTGGTTGTGCGTTCGGTATGTTATTCGTTTCACGAACAGTGTTTAACTCACTGTTCGTGAAACTTCATTAGGAATGCTGGGGTTTTCATACCGCCAGCATACGAATGCCCTAATTCGCCTGAAATACAAATAGCATTGATTTTTATGGCTTAGCAACAATACACACATCCTTATACATTGATAGTCTCTGGTGGCTAGTTTTGCCACACACTTCATATCTGGTGTATGTGTGCAACACTGGCTAGTTACCGCTTCTCAAGAAAGTCTAAAGACTTTTTAAAAAAGTGAAAAATAAAAGTGTTATTGTGATCGCTTCATATACAGAAGCATTAATATTACTTTCTATATTGTGTAAAGACACAACTACAAAGTTAAAAACCAAACACCAAAACAACGTGCCATACAATCTACCTTTGCATGGCTAGCGTGATACAATAAGTCTACATCTTAAAAATGCAATAACCCACAGAAGATGGGCGTGAATTTTTTTTTGCAAATGGAACTTTGATTCGAATTTACTACATTGGTCACTTGTAAAATTGTTTCACACCTACAATATTTGTTAAACAGATCTAAGTGATAGAAAACAGATTGATATTTTCTACACTAGAAACAAGCTGCTATATTTAAACCAGATATCAATAGCTAAGAGGTACTTAAACAATATTGTAATTCTGGGGCAATACCCTCACAAGTCAAACTGAGAGGTCATTTTATATGGAAAACTGTTGCTTGGATACAATTCTGAAACAATTTCCATATGTCCTTTGCAGACTTTACATGCTGGAAAAACACAGGTACCAACTGCTGTGGCTTTCTGCAGTGTGCAGACCGGCAGGGAGGGCAGGGTTGAGGAGTGGGTGGAAGATGATGTGGAGGATGATGAGGTCCTAGACCCCACATGGAATCAAGGTCATGCGAGTGACGTGTGCAGTTTGGAGGAAGAGGCGGTGGTCGCACAGAGGCACCAGCACACCATAAGAGGGCGCAGGGTGCAAAAGCGGAGTGGCCATCTTCTAGCGCTCAGCGGCATGTATTAGAATTACCACAGTTATCCAAGTAACAGATGGAGCGATCAAAGGAACCATAACTGATTTAATGAACCATTTGCAGTTTCACTGTAGCGGCTGTGCGCGCATTAGGCATTCTCACCCTGCTGCTGCTCGCCTGTCTGCAGCGTAAATTCGGCCTTCCCGCTCACCACCTCATATGTGATGTGCCCACAAGGTTGAACTCCACCTTGCGCATGCTGGAGAGACTGTGAGAGCAGCAGCAGGCGATAGTGGAGTTTCAGCTGCAGCACGCACAGGTCAGTCGCTCTGCACCAGACTTGCCCTCCAATAGAACCTCGTTAAAGTATTTAAAGTGTACTCATTCCAATTACAGGGCCTGGAAAGAGTCATGTATTGTTATTTATCATCACTACCTCCCGGCGTCGGGAGTGGGTAATATGTGCGTCTGCTGCCTTCCTTGGATATGGTAGCCATTTCTCAGGCTCCCTCTCCGGAATCGAACCCTGATTCCTCGTTACCCGTGTTCACCATCCCTACCTATTGGATGAAGGAAGGCCCTTTTCACAACGCTATGTTAGACATCTGGCAGTACTGCCTCAGATCCTGAGAGATGCCTGGCCAGAAGAAGCTTTGGGTGAGCTGAGACACTGTCCAGCTCCTTCCCAAATGCCCTGCCAAGGGGATATTGTGAGCTAGTTTCAGCAGCACATACCAATACTTCTTGGGACTGGGGCTGGCGGTCTCTCACCAGCCGTGTCGTTGGGCAGCCCTTTGAAAAAGTGCTCTAGCATGACGAGCTGGGTGATCTCCTCCGGGAACTTGGCTTGATGGGAGTTGAGCCAGTTCTGCATGGCCCTTGTGATGCGGCATGCCCATTCCGCATGGGAGTCCTTCTCCCCTTTCCGGGTCTCCCTAAACTTTCAACGGTATAGCTCGTGGGTGACCGCATACCGAGCTAGGAGGATTTGTATAAAGGTATAGTCTCTGATCTGCTCTTCTGGTACAGCCCGGTAAAAATCCGCTGCCTTCCCCACTAGTTTGCTGGCCAGGATGGTGACCCAGTCGCTGGGGTCCATGTCTTGGAGTAGGCACTGGCGCTCAAAGTCTTGTAAAATGTAATTGATGCCTTCTTCTGCTTCCTTGAACTCTTTGAAGGCATTGTATGGTAGCCTGTGGGCCAGGGTGGTTGTGCTTCACGATGCCCTCTGCTCCCTTCTTCCTTCATCTGGGTTCATGGAGGTCACCCTCTGTCTATTGGCAAGGACATATCAGGACATTGGCAAGGATATATCAGAGCTGCGGCAGAAAGTGCGGGCCATCTGTGCGTGCTTTTGGTGTTCTCACCCTGCTGCTGCTCGCCTGTCTGCGTTGCAGCGTATCTTCGACTTCCCGCTCACCGCCTCATATGCGACGTGCCCACAAGGTGGAACACCACCTTGCACATGCTGGAGAGACTGTGCAAACAGCAGCAGGCGATAGTGGAGTTTCAGCTGCAGCACGCACGGGTCAGTCACTCTGCGGAAAAGCACCACTTCACCACCAATGAGTGGGCCTCCATGCGAGACCTGTGTGCCATGTTGCACTGTTTCGAGTACTCCACCAACATGGCCATTGCCGATGATGCCGTTCTCAGCCTTACTATGTCTATGTCTCCTTGAAAAAACGCTTTGGGGCGATGATGGAAGAGGATGTGGCACAGGAGGAAGAGGGGTCATTTCCACGGTTATCAGACCAGTCATTCACAAGTGTATAATAGTATAAACTATGTACACAATAGCAGAGGCTTGTGAAGGCATTTTCAACATGCATCAGGAATTGAGCTCAGTTTGAACAATGAAAGAATACCCTGCACTCCAACCCTCTCTCAAATGGATAATTCTGGTGATCCTCCTGAAAGTAATGCTTTAGATTTTGCTTTATATTCTTCCAAAGCTAAAATCAAAGATTCCATCTAGTGCTATTTTATGGCTCAGCTGTATTTTTTATTTAACGTTATTTTAAGTGATTTCCCAATCCACATTTGTTTGCAGCCATTTTACTTCCTTTTGCAGCCTTCTAGCCCTTTCCAGAACTTTTTTAGAGACATTTTAGTGCCCAAAAATTCGGGTCCCCATTGACTTCAATGGGGTTCGGGTTCGGGGTCAAGCTCGGGTCAAGTTCGAGCCCGAACTCGAACTTTTGACGAAGTTTGGCTGAACTCGGCAAACCTGAACATCCAGGTGTCCGCTCAACTCTACTCACTAACAAATGGGGGCTTACGTACGGGCCCGAAAGAGAATAGTTAGTGAGTACATGATGACTTTTGTCTTTCATGACTCCCAGCTACGTATCTCTTCGGTGCTGAACTTTAGAGTGGGGTGAGTGCAGAGAAAACCCGGCTGTGGTGTCTACTGTGGCAGTCGGCGTACTGCGGTCAGGTGAACCTCGGCGTCCTTCAGTTGTAGCTGAGGAGTATAGACTCCTCGGGGTCCTTCAGTTGTAGCTGAGGAATAACCTCAAGGGTCCTACAGTAGTAGCTGAGGAATATCCTCGGGGTCCTATGTTGTAGCTGAAAAGAAGACCCACCGTATACGGCGTCAGAAGTAGGTTAGCTAATTTTATATTCCAACATATATCTTTTATATATGTTGATGGATTGGTGTAGGTTGGGAGGGTGTAGAGTAGATAAGGGACAAGAATAAATCCCCCTAATCCTATTTACTTTTCTCTCTCTGAATATTTCTCCGGTCTCCTCTTTCATAAAGTATAGGTTTTTATTCTGTTTTATTGTTAAATGTTTCATATTGGATCCGTATACATGGTATGATTGTTATTTCTATACCATAAACCCACTACACTTTCAATGAGAGTGGGATAGTATAATTGTGTTTAAGTTGTATGCATGATGAGCCCTGTACTTTCATACTGGGACAAAAGTCACATCATTAGTATTTAAAAGTTAACTCCATATACGGGATTAACTGTGTAAAACATCAACCACCACATTTTCCCTGCCCTGTGTGTTTGTTGCAGATGATCCATACTTTATATATATTTTATTTTTGCTTGTAAATTAGACCCCTTAGCCACATCTAGATTTTCAGCAGTCGAACACGTGCTTCATTTTGTGCTGCAAACTAACTTTTGCTTGCTACAGGTACTTTAAATGATCAAGTGCATCACTTGCTGCATATGCTTTAAGATTCTCTGTAGTTTAATCTTTAAGGAAATATTGCTTTTATGACTAATATGTCTCACATTGTATGTATTATTTATATTGTGAAAATCTACAAATTGTTGTGTGGGGATGCTGAGATTGTATTCTTTGCGACCACAACTGTAGACTCCCTGTGTGTTGGGTTTGAGGTTTGGTCAGGTATTGTCACGTATTCAGCCGCTTATAGAAATGTGGTTAATGACATTTACTGTCCACACAGGAAAAGTTGTGCCGAGCAGCAACCTAATCCACAGAAGGGTTAATGCTGAGCAGTAATTGTGCAAATGAAACCTTGTGTCATGTATTCATCCGCTTATAGAAATGTGGTTAATGACATTTACTGTCCACACAGGAAAAGTTGTGCCGAGCAGCAACCTAATCCACAGAAGGGTTAATGCTGAGCAGTAATTGTGCAAATGAAACCTTGTGTCATGTATTCATCCGCTTATAGAAATGTGGTTAATGACATTTACTGTCCACACAGGAAAAGTTGTGCCGAGCAGCAACCTAATCCACAGAAGGGTTAATGCTGAGCAGCAACTATGCAATTGAAACCTGGTAACTGACTTTGGGGTCAAAGGCCGGTTACAGCCTATCAGAACTAAAGGAGGGGTATTTAGGCCCAGTTCTCAGCCTGCTCAGTGCCCTGTCGTGGTTTCCTTTGTGGTTGTCTGAGAGCGCGTTCCTGTTTATAGTTTTCTACCTGTTTTTTGACTTTGGCTTTGTTTATTGACTTCTCTATATTCTGGTATCCTGACTCCTGGCTTTCCTCATCGCTGTGTCCCTTTCTGTGTTCCCTGACCTCGGCTAGTATTTTTGACTATTCTTTGTACGTTAAATCCGGCCATTCTAAGGACCGGTAATACGTTACTTATTTGTCATCCGTGCTGTACAGTTCTACGTGCTGGATCAAACAGTAATCCTGACATTACGACATGGCCATAGATCCTGTAGAACTGTGTCAGCACATAGCTGCTTGCGAGAGGAAATTAGCATGGATCAATTCACTCAGGCTTTAAGTACGCTTCTCGCTAGAACGGAGCATCTGCAGCCTGCAGCGTCTCCTCCTATAGCACCTCTACCCTGTGTACCTTCACCCACTGTTAATAGGACTCCTAGCATCTCCTTATCACCATCCCTACAGTTTGATGGCAATATCCAGGAATGCAGGGGTTTTCTTAATCAGGTGGAGTACCATTTTGAGGCCTCACCAGGGTCATTCCCCACGGACAGAGCAAGAATTGGTTATCTAATGAATCAATTAAAGGGCAAGGCCCTTGCCTGGGCTAATCCGTTGTGGGAGAGTAATCGGAGCATAGCTCATAATTACCAGGAATTCCTTGCTGAATTCAAGCTCACGTTTGAGCCATTGGGTAGAGAGGATGACGCCTCCACTGCCCTAATGCACATCAGACAAGGTAACCGGTCTATCTCGGATTATGCTATTGAATTCCGTACCTTAGCTTCCGAGGTAGACTGGACTAACAATGGGTTAATCTCAGCATTCAAAAAGGGTCTCTCAGAGACTATACTAGATGAGATAGCCGCTAAAGAATTACCTAAGAGTCTTAACGAATTTATTACGTTTGTCATGCATATTGATAATAGGTTAAGACTCAGAGAAGTCACCAGAAGCAAGACCAGACGTACGGCTATGTCCCTAGCACCTCAATTCTCTAAACCTGTTTTGTCTAACCTCCCTGTACAGTCCGAACCCGAACCTATGCAGTTGGGGGTCACTAGACTGTCAGAGGCCGAAAAACAGTATAGGAGAAGGGAGGGGTTATGCCTATATTGCGGTAGAAAGGGACATATGATAACTAATTGTCCAGTGCGTCCGGAAAACTTCCGCACCTAAGAACCTTAAGGGGACAGATCTTAGGTGTGATGGAGTTGTCCTCTAACAAAAACAAAAGTAGATTCCTCCTTGAGGTATCTATTTCCCTTGATAACAAGAAGTTTTCTTGCAGTGCCCTAATGGACTCAGGTGCTGCTGGAAATTTTATTGATGTCCAGTTTATTAGGGGTAATGAGATACCGGTCAGGGAGAGACCTACGCCGCTAGCTGTAGAGGCTATTGATGGTAGACCACTCACACAACCGCTTATAACCCACGAAACTGTCCCTATTACGATCTCCATTGGGGCCTCCCATAGGGAGGAGATGACGTTTCAGGTTATTACTTCTCCATCATGTCCTATCATATTAGGGTTTCCGTGGCTGAGTAAGCACAATCCCTATATTGACTGGGCTAATGGGGAGATATTAGAATGGGGTAAAGAGTGTATGGGGAGATGTATAAAACCAGTACTAAAGAGATTGGATACTATTGACCTTCCCACTACCACTCCCCAAACTCCTGGAGTTCCCATACAATACCGAGAACTTCAGGAGGTGTTTAACAAGGCTCAATCCGATGTATTGCCTCCCCACAGAGCATATGACTGTGCCATTAACC